CGATGGAGAATAAATAATAGATAAAAAATAGACAATAATCTTCCAGTGATGATGAAAAGCTGCCTTTATCTATTAACCTACGAAATCTGACTGCAAATTTAATCTATAGAGATAATTTCTTACTCTTCCAAATACTGTTTTCTGCACTAGTTTTATTCGCTATATCCGGATTCGAATTTCGTATATGAAACATTTTAAATTGTTATCTGTATTTTATATTTGTACTGTTATCATGAATATTTTGGAGTTGAGCGTGAAAAATTAATATAATTTAACATTTATCTAACAAATTTGAATACAATTAAAAATACTTAAAATCATAAAACAGTTCGATCAAAATTCTATACTTTAACTTTTACCTTCCGAATTTCGGTGTAATGGTTAACGGCTTTGAACGCGTAATAAGGCGAGCCGAGTTCGAACCCCAACCGCGTTCGTTATAACTATTTTGTTCTTGGGAAAGGTATTAATCGATCTCTTCTACCAACTCAGTTAAAGTTAAATAACAGACCAGACTGTGCTCTCCAGTTGTCGTTGGCAAGCAGTCTTGGAGAACAACATCATCAAATTTACAATTAAATGTAGAACTGGAATTTAGCATATACAATTCAGCCATCGACTGTGTTGTTATTATTATTGTTTTTTATACATTTAAATATTTTGAACGAAGCTGTTCTCCTTTGATCACCACAGAGAACCCTTCCCCTCTCCCTTCAAAATGACTGATTCCCAACTCCTTGTGAGCGCCTTGTTACGCCTGTTTGGTCTCACGCTCTCCACTGATATGAGGTGGAATACATTGAATCAATAGCTTCATCTACCGCAAGGAAATTTGGCTTTCTGTGCCGTGCCAGAAAGTTTTTCTCGCCTGAGTCCATCCTTCAAATCTATAAATCAACCATCCGTCCTTGCATGGAATATTGCTGTCATATGCCGTCGCTGTATGTCTCGAGGTCGTTGACAAAATCTGGAGACAAATATGCAAGATGATAAGTCCTGATCTGGCATCTAGTCTACAATCGCTATCCCACAGACGTGGTACTGCCTCTCTCTGTCTCTTTTATAAATATTTTCACGGCAACTGTTCCAACGAGCTACTTTCGCTGGTTCCCGGACTTTAAACGTGCTATCAGGCTGGCATCTCAGACCTACCCTTTCACTGTGAAGACGGTTAAATGTAACCGTCTCTTCCTGTCAAACCGCTTCTTCTCCCGAACTTCCCGTCTTTGTAACTCCCTTCCCCTTACTTGCTTCCCCGATGACTATAATCTTCAAATATTCACGCTGTAGAGCTTGAATAAATCTGACAAGGAAACATATTCTTGTCTTACGCCTCTTTCATGTTCTGTTTAAGGACTCAATTAATTTTCTCTCAGGCGTTTTTTTTTTCACTATAAGGTCTGGTTTATTCTAACATCCTTTTCAAATGGATCAGATTTTCCTGTTTCTAAATAGATGTGTGTGCCATGGCTTATCAAATACTTTTGCATAATCTATAAAACGTAAGGACACATCCTTCTGGATTTGTATTGCCCTCTCTCTCTCTCTATCTCTCTCTCTCTCTCTCTCTCTCTCTCTCTCTCTCACACACACACAAACAAACACACACAAACACAGACGCAAACTTACACACATACACACACACTCCCTCTATCTACCTACCTATCTATATATCTATTTATCTATCTATATTATTCTAATCCTGAATATCGCATTTCTCATTCCAGTATCCTTGACAAAGATGCACTGATATTGTCTTCATTGGATAGAATATCATTTATAACATTCAATTTACATAATGCGTAACTTAAACCACCTTTCAAATCCAGGCATTTTTTTCTGCCGACTGAAGTAGCAAAACGTTAAATTACAGGAATAATTTAAGCCACAACTTCTTACAGTATATGTCTATATTTCTGAGATGAGGTATTATGTACACTATTTCCATTGTTCGGACCATTGTTCTCATCTTTGCTGTCATATTTACCACAACGTTTCGGCCGTTGTACGCTCCGTCATTCTTCAGGTGTTTGGAATGTTGAACTGAAACCTTTATTTCGCTCGCTGGGGTAGACCGTTCTAGTTCCACGTGCCATGTCTAATGGATGTCAGTTATCAGTTATCTCTTGTTAATTTCCCCTCTCCAAGTTCTCCACCGCCTTAACCATGTATTGAACTCACACTCTTTGGGTCCTCTCACTGGATCTAACTAACGCCTTTATCCATTGTGCTATGTGTTCTTGAGAAATATAGAAATATAGAAAGATACTCAATTTACATAATACTTAACTTAAACTACCTTTCAAATTCAGGAATTTTTTTCTGCCGATTGACGTACGGAAACGTTAAACTACGGGAATAATTTAAATCACAATGTCTTACAGTATTTTCGCTTCGTAATATAAGTTTACATAGTAAATATGTTTTCTTTGTGTTAATATAATATATAAATATATAATATATAAATGTTTTCTTTGCGTTAATACAATATAGAAATATATAATATATAAATATGTTTTCTTTCTGTTAATATATTACTAATCGTTTGGTCAGTCGTCCCGGAAACCTAGTCACGTTATTTAGTGAAACATTTTTTTTTTTACCAGGTATTGAATACATAAGGAAATTATTAAAAATTAGTTTCTTGAGGCTGTAAAAGCGAAAATATATCTTTCTATGTGTCTAACTGTCTGTTCTTCCGTCGTTGCTTCTAAGGCTTCATTTATGTACAAGAATGCGTTTGTTTTTTTTTGTTTGTTTGTTTTTCATTTTTTTTAGATTATTTTTATTTTTTTATTTTTATTTTTTTTTTGGTGGCAGAGTAGTTCTAAGAAATTGCCGAAGAGTGCAGCTGAAATTCGATTGCAATCTCCCGTACCTGACCCACATGGCAAACACAAGTTAGACAAAAGATTACATAGAAATGATGCAATGCATCAACATGAAAGATATAAATCTTTTGCAGCTTAACTAAAAGACACTCGTAAACAGACAGAAATCTTTAATAATAATAATAACTATTTTCCTTCACCTGTTTGTTTTTTTCTTATATTGATTCCAAGATAATTGGAATTGTATGTAAAGAAAGATGGAAAGAAAAGAAGGAAGGAGAGGACAAGTATGGGAAGCCGAAAGAAAAAGAAGTAGAGAAAGAGGAAAAAAAGAACGAAAAGGAAGAAGCGATAGATAGAAAGACGAAAAAAAAAGAAGAGAAAGATGGAAAGAAAAAGAAGAAGAGATTGATGGAAAGACGAAGGAAAAGGAAAAGGATGGGAAAACGAAAACGGGAAAATTGAAAAGAAGAAAGAAAAGAAAGAAATGAAGTATGGAAGAAGAAAAAAGATTTCACTTAATGAAATTAGAAAGAAATATAAACGAAAAATGGGATGAGAAGAAGAACAAATAAAAAAATCGAAAGTATTTTGAAATAAATGAATAATTAGAAAGAAATAAAACCCGGCAAAAACTAGAACAACAAATATAGTATTTTAGGATAGAAGAAGAAGAAGAAGAAGAAGAAGAAGAAGAAGAAGAAGAAGAAGATGAAGAAGAAGATGAAGAAGACGACAAATAATAATAAGAAGAAGAAGAAGAAGAAGAAGAGGAAGAAGAAGACGATGAAGAAGAAGACGACGAATAATAATAATAATAAGAAGAAGAAGAGGAAGAAGACGAATAATAATAAGAAGAAAAAGAAGAAGAAGAGGAAGAAGAAGACGATGAAGAAGAAGAAGACGACGAATAATAATAATAATAAGAAGAAGAAGAAGAAGACGATGAAGAAGAAGAAGACGACGAATAATAATAATAATAATAAGAAGAAGAAGAAGAAGAAGAAGAAGACGATGAAGAAGAAGAAGACGACGAATAATAATAATAATAATAAGAAGAAGAGGAAGAAGACGAATAATAATAAGAAGAAAAAGAAGAAGAAGAAGAAGAGGAAGAAGAAGACGATGAAGAAGAAGAAGACGACGAATAATAATAATAAGAAGAAGAAGAAGAAGGAAGAAGACGATGAAGAAGAAGACAACGAATAATAATAATAATAATAAGAAGAAGAAGAATAAGAAGAAGAAGAAGAAGAAGAAAACGATGAAAAATAGTCCAAGTCAGAAGGAAATTAATAGAAAGGAAAGTAAATGCAAAGGAATTTTTTCAAAGTTATGATGGAATGTAAAAGCGAGAAATATAAAATATTTCAACCAATGACGAAGGGCAAAAATAACAATTATAAAAATTAATATCTCTATAGGAGAGACGTTCTGGAATAATCTATCACATTTGGAATATTGAATGGCAATACATCTTTGTATTTCAAACAACTTTTTTTTTTCTAATCAGACCGTTAGGAAGACGGGAAAAAGAAAGGATTTTTTTGTATATTTTGGGACTTATCACATTAATGTATACAGTTGAGTATTTCATGAAGATTTTCAGGTCGGCATATTTTTCTCTCTTGTCGAGAGGAAAAGAATCTTATCAGTCCCACATCTCTTCTTAGTTAAGCTCTTTTTTTTATTAACATATTCTTTTGTTCGTTTTTTGTTTTGTTTTTGGGGGTTTTTTTATATTTCATTTTATCTGTTGTGGTTATATTCTTTTTCATTTGTCAATATTTTTATCTTTATTTTTCAGATTTTTATTGCACAACTGTATTTTTATATTGTTCGAAATCGTTTTGTCCCATCGATTTTTTTAGATTCGCTCTTCTTCTTCTTCTTCTTCTTCTTCTTCTTCTTCTTCTTCTTCTTCTTCCAATTCTTCTCCTTTTCTACTCTTTCTTCCTCTTCTTCTACGCCTTCTTCTTCTTCTTCTTCGCTTTCTTCTTCTTTTTCTTCTTCTTTTGTTTCCCCTTCTTCCCCATCTTCTTCTTCTTCTTCTTCTTCTTCTTCTTTTTTGTTTCTTCTTCTTTCTCTGTTTATACTCCTTCCTTTACTATTTTGGTTTCTACTTCTTCTCCTTCTTTCTTCTTCTCCTTCTTTTTCTTCTTCTCCTTCTTTTTCTTCTGTTTCCAGACATTCTTCAACTAGTACTTCCTGTTCTTCCCATTTTTCTTCTTCTTCTTCTTCTTCTTCTTCTTCTTCTTCTTCTTCTTCTTCTTCTTCTTGTCCGCATGTGTATGCATGTATATGTATGTGAAAAGTGTGTGTATATGGATATATATGAATAGGTGTATGTGTGGATATGTGAATATATTTTTATATTTTTATGTGTGTACATGGGTATATGTATGTGTGTATGTGGGTACACGCCTATGTGTATATATATACATGAATATGTTATTGTGTGTATTCGCATGTGTTTTTGCACATAGAAATATAGGTCCTTGCTGGATTAGATAATCGTTATATTTATCTTTTTATATATTTATATTTGATTTGTAACCTGTAGTCGATATTAAATTTGTCAAATTTTCTCAATTACAAAGCGGCCTTTTAAGTAAACGCAATTGTACTTTCCTTCGTCCCATCTCTCCCCCCCCACCTCGTATTTCCCTCCCTCTTACTCTAACATTAGATTCTCTATGGTGTGTGTATGTCATCACGAAATGTATCTTTATGCATTAGACATCCGACAACATTCATTTTTCTCTTACTTAAACCCCTTCCACCCATCTCTCCTAAAATTCTCTCTGTTAAGGTTTAATCTCACCTCCTCCTCATTACTTACTCTCTCTAAATTCTGTTTTTATTTCCGGAGTTGTTTTTTTGTTTTTTTTGAATTTGTAGGTCTGATGAATTGATCGTATTTACGATTCCAATGGAATAAATTATGACCATGGAATATTAGTGTTTAAGCCTTTTTATTATATCCTTACTCTGTCCTAGACATTGAGTTCTACCTGATTCTTCCTCTTGGAATTTTTTTTCTAAATATATACATGTATGGGTATTTATATATTTTGCATATGTATGTATATTTTCCACTAATATTATATATATATATATATATATATATATATATATATATATATATATATATATATACAGTTGAATCACCGATATATATATATAAATATATATATATATATATATATAACCTGGCAGGGGTTCAAGTTATCGGTGATTCAACTGGTTTCTCCATGTTGTTGGTTTTTTTTCTGGTTGTGGTGCGGTGGTTAGACACTGACCAAGATTAAGTGCAAGCTCTGTCAAAGGGCGCATAAATCATTTCATGACATTAATGGTCATCTAGCACAGCTGTGGCAATTTAGAAATACTTGGTTTGGTGTCCAGACTCGTGGTCAGTTCGTCAGTTATGTCGGAATCATGAGTATCCAACTAGGAGAAGGAAATCTAGAATGCAACACCTGGGGATTGATATCATCTATTGATATTGACTCATTCTTCTATTTGGGTATATGCTTTTCTTGAACAGAGAGGTGGATTGACTCATTGTAACTTCTTTCCCCACTTTAAAAAAAAAACATACACCCGAAAACGTGGTGACAGATTGCTAGCTAGCTAGCTAGATAGATAGATAGATAGATATAGAGAGATTCGGATAGATAGATAGATAGATAGATAGATAGATAGATAGGATGAACGATTATGCCTTTATTGTATTGTTTTGTAAAATCTTTTATATTCATATTATCTTTTATTTAAATGCCTATGCATTTTTGTAATCTCATGCTGCACTTTTAATGTTGTTATTGATTTGTTTGGTGCTAATTAAATCTCATTTTTTTTTTAATTCTTGCAAGAGATTTGTATTACATTTAGATAAATTCTCATCAATTGTAGCCATTATTCAATTCTGATAGCGTTATGCTCTTAGTTCATCAAGTTTAATTTAGCGTTTCACTTTTTATTATTTTAAGCTTCCCTCTTGGAGTTATATGAAATAATCAGAGTATTCAAGGAGTTTAAAAAAAAACATATTTAATGAATCTTCTTCATCATGTAAGGACTGACGGCAACAAATTATAATTACTGACAAGTGGAAAGCGAGAATTAGTCCAGATTTTATTTTCTTACTTTTGTGTAAATCGAAGTTTATGAGATCAAATTTATTTGTTAATACGACTGAACACGATATCAAGAAACGATAATACATTCTTTGTTTCTATTTTACAAGTAAAATCAGTTGTAACTTAGATGTTTAGTTTATTTTCCAAAATCAGGTAATAATATTGTGGGGGTTACTAAGGGGCTGATTATTTCATAAGCTGATTATGAAGGAATTTGATAGAGAAATGAAATATTAATTTCGATACACCTTATTAATAACTGCATTGTTCATTTCCAGGTAAACTGACATTTGACTGCATAAAGAAATCTTCAGATGTAACTAGTAGCGAATTCTCTTAAAAACTGAGCAAATTTGGCATTGGGGTCTTATAAGTTACCTGCATAAAAAAAGATTTATCCCCCAAGAACATTCATGCTAATATGATTGCTATATTAGGAGATAACGCTGCAGATTTATCACAAGTGCAAAAGGGGTTAGCTGAATTTAGAATTGGTAGACTCAGTTGACCCAATCTCTGGACGTCCTACAACTACCACCGTCATGGCGATAGATGACAGGCACTTGACTATGAGTAAAATAGCCAATGCTACTGCCATATCCCGAGAGAGTTGAGAATATTCTGCACAATGAACTTGGCGTGACGAAGGTTTCTGCTCGGCGAGTGACACGTTTTCTGACACCTGATCAAACGTGCACCTGGATGAAGACGTCACGGGAAAATCTGAGGTAGATTCAGTTGGTTTCTTTGGATGTTTCCTAATCCAAGACAAATGTCGGTTTGAGCCAGAGACAAAGAGACATTGCAAGGGAAACACTCCTCCTCACCATCTGCAAAGAATGTCAAAATCATATCATCAACAGAGAAGGTGATGGTTTCAGTTTTTCTGAATGTAAATGGCATTGTGTCTATTGAATATCTTCAAAAGATTCACACCATCAATGAAGTGTACAATGCCAATATTTTGAACCAGTTAAGAAATGGTTTCAAAATAAAACGACCAGGAAAACTGTTGAAATGGTTTTTGTTTCATCAGGACAATCCTCCAGCACAAAAGTGTTTGATTTACGACCGACGGGCATAACTATGGTTTTGAACTGGTTGATCCCACCCTCCCTTTATTCACCTGTTTTGACTATCATTCTCCAACATGATAAAACACTTGGCTGGGAACCAGTTTCACTTTGGGGATGTCTTTATATCTGCTACTGCCGACATTTTTGACCCTCACGGCGATCAGTCGGATATAAGTTTACCTAGAAAGAAACATGCATTTATCAATAAGAAGAGTTGAAATGAATGTATGCAAGATTTCACTGCTCCATCATAGTCAGTCTATGAACTTTTCAGCTGGCTCTCGTATATTCAGAAAGTTATCGATATATCGGAAATATGATTTTAGGCAAAATGTTTTTAAAACTACCATTTTCTAAGACAACGAAAAGCCAAGTCAAAACCCTGCAAAGAGGCGATCCCATCGGTAAACCAGATTTTTGTCTGATATCGGAATTTAAATAACATCCACTTGTAATAATACTTAAACTTAAGGAAATTGTCTCCCGCAAGACAGCGCTTAATTTTGGATTTTAATAATTGCTTTTTTAGCAGATATAAGCATTTGTCATTTATTACGTGAATGTATCAGGATTTTATATATAGACTAATCAATTATTTACATTTATTATTTTCGTCTTTTCACCTTTCGTCAAGGTTTATATATATATATATATATATATATATATATATATATATATATATATATATATATATATATATATATTGTGGCTATGATACCATACTTTAAAAGATTTTTTTTTTGGTGTCTATGTAAATGTTTTCGTTTCTGTTAATGTTATTAGTCAGGCGAGTTTTGCATATTTTTTATATATACTTAAGAACAATCTTAAAGAGGCCTTTAGTATGATTAAATCATTTTTATATATATTTTTGAACGTAAAATACAATGCTTATTTTATTCAATGGGCCTTAATATAGGCAATATTTAAAATTAAAAAATCAAGGAATTAAATCAATATTACATGTACAATTATATATAATAAAATAATGGATATATAATTATAATATATAGATTTTTGTGGAATAAAATCCCTATTAAAATATCCATATAATGTATATATGGGCAGCAACCATTCTTTTAAACATGTTTCTTTGAATAGGAGAGACAAGGAATATTTAATTAAATTTATGTTTAGTATTTCCAGCATTCTTTTATTTTTTCATTTGGTCGGAGTAAATGAGTGCAAAAATTGCCCATATTGCCCAATATCCCAAGCGTTTTCGGCCACTTCCTGAGCCATTTTCAAAGAAGTTTGTATTAGGTATTGTCAATATCTCTTCATGTTTGGCTGTTTTAATTTTTTTTTTGTGTGTGTGTGTGTGTGTTGCTGGAATTTGAATGAGCGTCTTTGTATTTTTTTTAATTTCAACGCACTATACCCACCGTTAAACAAGCTGAGGTTGATAGTAGGAACGAGATATTTAATATATAGCGCCTCTCTCACAGCAAGACGTTTCCAGTAATGTGATTTATAAAGAATTCTAGTGTTCTTATCCAGAATATTTCTTAAGGTCTCTGGTAAATTGTGGGTAGCTATATATATATATATATATATATATATATATATATATATATATATATATTTTGGTTGAATTGATGTGAGTTTGTGACTCTGGGCTTCATAAATTCACATCAATCCAACCAAATATGTTAGCTCTATCTCTGATATTGGGCGCTTTCTAATAAGTTCCGTGCATACAATATATACATAATAATATATATAATATATCAAACATATATACATATTTATTTATATTTATATACACACACTTTTCCCATATATATATGTGTGTTGGGTGTTTGTGGGTGTGTTTGTGTGTGTGTGTGTGTGTGCGTGTGTGTGTGAACAACACATCTCCCTGGCCATAGCTTAATTTAGTTTCAATTAAATACACATGGAGATCTATCAAACTCCACCCCCAACATAGCTTCATCCATGTGTAAAAAGTCTAGAAATAATTGAAGCATTATTAATAAATGAAAAAAAGAAAAAGTCAACTCTTAATGTCATCTATGAAGATGGCCTATAACTCTAGGTACATACCTAAAACAATCCATACACTTGTTTAAAAGTAAAAATAAAATTATCCTTGATAATTGCTCAATGTATAGCCAAAAGCGGTTAGACAAGGCAGTCGAAAACTTTCTATAAAATTTATGTCCAGAAAAGTAAAAAATCATAAGAACACAAAAAATTAAATAAAAAGCTTAACCGCAGTATCTTGTCAGTTGCTTTTAAAGAAACCTATGTATATATATATATATATATATATATATATATATATGTGTGTGTGTGTGTGTGTGTGTGTGTGTGTGTGTGTGTGTGTGTGTATGTACTAACAGTATCTTATTAGGAAAGAACTACAAACATCAGAACAGAGCGAAACAAATCGTCCAGTGCCTTAAGTCCTTAGTCCTAAGAAAGAAAACCAAAGCGAGTAGTAAAACTAAAACGTAGAGTGCTTCAGGATAAGCTCAACCTGAAAATCCGTTTAGGTGAAACCTAGGTAGGTTTTCTTTGCTCTTTAGGATTTATTATATATATATATATATATATATATATATATATATAAGTAACGAAAATCTTGGTAATCCGTATGGATAATCCCAAGGAGGATGAAATCCTGAGAGCTCAATGTTAATTTAGAGCGAATAATTTAATTTAAAGAAAAACAGACCACTTTAAGGCTCCATTGTAATAATTTATTTCACAAGAGAATTTTATTTTTCTCTGGATCTTCAGACTTCATTTTCAAAAGGTGAAACGAAAAGTGAATTAAATATTTACACTTTTGACGGGCAGTATTAAGCTTATACAAGTTGACATAGAGGGTGGTGAGGGATGGTATGAGAGACATGGTCGGGGGAAGGGAGAGTTTTAAAATTTATTTTTAGATTTCTTTTTATTATAATACTTAATATTGAGGAAGGAGGGGGTAAGGATGAGACATTGAACTATTTAATCGGTCACCTCAACGGAAATGATATGGGAAAAGAAAAAGGAGAAATAAAATCGAAAAAGTAAAAAAGGGGTAAGTAAAGAGAAAAGAGATGTACTTAGGGTTTTCGGAGGAAGAAGAGGGGTGGTATAACTTTAACAATTTAGATAAAAACAGATTTTAACGTTTGATAGTAATTTAAATGTTTAAAAACTCCACAAAGTAAATAAATTTAATGCTTGTTAACAATTTAAATATTCAACTTCTCCATAAATAAATTAGGGATTTAATATAAGTCGAATATTATATTAATAAACGACAATAAAAAAATTACTAATAGTAATATTTTAATATTGTGAATGAATTAAGGTAAAATCTTTATCAGTTAGAGTCTAATTCATGAATTTAATTTGTAGCTATCATTAGATGGGTAATATTTCTTAATTAAAATCTGCAAGTAAAACAAGTTTTAGTGTTGAGTGAGGTTTTACGTTTTCTCTTTGAGTATAATATGACTGAATCTACCTTCCTAGTAACGTTCTAATCTTTTGATATTCACGGAGAAATACTATATCGCTGGCTGAGAGTCAAATTGAGAGTAAATTACAATCGCTGTTATGTGATGAAAAACGACTGCAACTGTGTAGCGATTCTTACATGTTGTAATATCCTAAAGTAAATAACATTTCTCTACTTGGTATTGAGCCATCTTTTAAATTAAATATTACGAATATTGAAAGTGTAATCTATTCGTTCTCATCGTAGTTATATATATATAATAATTATAATCTAGTCTCTAGTTGTGTATCGAGCAATGTTTTTTTCTAAAAATAAAAACAAAAATACTAAAGAATTTCGGATCATCAGTCTAATGGCTCTTTCCTGTTATTTCAATATATTTGCATATATATATATATATATATATATATATATATATATATAGAGAGAGAGAGAGAGAGAGAGAGAGAGATAAATAGATAGATAGATAGATAGATAGTAATTATTGGGAGGATTTGATAATTATATTTAATTAATTCATCGAGTCTGATAGAAACCTCAACAGAATGCAGAAAGCACTGGACGGCTGTTTCGTCCTATATTTGGGACTCATAAGCAGTGCGTATCCACTTCCGAATATGTGAGCGAGCGGCGCGATATTGAGTCTGATTTGCAATCTCTTCGACAACGGGGCCCTTTGACGTTTGCTTGACAACCTAACTCTCAGGGTTTCAATTCTCGGTAGTGGATGCGCACAGCTGATGAGTCCCAAACATAGGACGAAACGGCCGTCCAGTGCTTTCTGCATTCTGTTGAGATTTCTATCAGACTCGATGAATTAATTAAATATATATATATATATATATATATATATATATATATATATATATATGTATACCGGCAGTAAGAGCAAAATTGTACAAATTGAATTTCTTTTCTCCAGGTTTTCAGATAATATGTTTAGACATCTTGATACCATTTGTCGTAAGAATCATTGAAAATCATTTCAGTTATTCAGCTTGGATGGGAACAGGATAAAATCGTTTTGTTTTAGCTCAATTATCTTCCTAACTGAGTAATAGCGAGAGGAAAAAGATCATTCAGAGATTCATAGTCTGCCTTGCATCTTGGAAGTCCATTCAAGAACCATAAAGAGAACGCTGAATAAGTTTAAGAAAGAGGGGACAGTAGAGAGGAAAACTAGATCAGGAGGTCACAACAGGAAGAAGAAACGTCATTTCCGCTTGGAGATAAAGAGATCAATTAGAAAAGATCCAACACGATCCACAAAACTTTTGGCACGTGAGGGAGGAGTTTCACTTAGGACAGTCTGAAGAATAGTGAAAAAAAGACATGAAAAACTCTATCAGCCACCTAGTTACTCAAGGACAGAAAGTTAGAAGGTTAGAGAGCGAAGATCATCTTGAATAAGTTGAAAACTGATCCTGGAATAATATATATATATATATATATATATATATATATATATATAGCTTACTTTCAATCCTTCCAATCCTTAGCTCTGACTAATTAATAATGAGCATGTTATTTTCGTTTATGATCGATTTCATCACTATTATTTTAAGGTGCGAGTCTATCTCTACTCTATCGTTATTGCTGTGGCAGATGTTCGAACAATTAAATTTCTTAGTTCCACCAGCTCAGACCTGAACAGCTTGAATTCGCCATGATGTGTTCATAATGGTAAACCATCCACAATTCCTTTTGTGTTCCTTTGTGCGTGTGGGGGTAGGGGAGGCTTAATATATTACCAACATCGATTGGTTAATACCAATTTCGCTGGGTAACATTGATTTGTATAATAAAATCCGATAGTAGCTACAAAATAGTTTATTTCTATATTTCTGTTTTTATTAGGTGTAGAAAAAAAAGTATATTTTCCATAAGACAATAGGAAGAAAGAAAGAAAGAAAATTTACAAAGAAAGAAATATTTTGATAAGACAATGTAAGGAAAGAAAGAATTTTTAAAAGAACTCTGATGAGAAAGTAATAAAAAGAAGTAAAAGTATCAAGAAATAAATATGTGAAGAATTTTGATTCGAATATATAAACAAAGGAAGAATTCTTGGTAGGGAAAAGATAGAAATAAAGAAAAGAAAGAAAGAATTTTTATAAGAAAACAAACATAAATGTAACAATATTCAGAAAGAAAGAAAGAATTTTCACTATTTACATTATTCGGACTATTGTCATCATCTTTGTCGCCATATTTATGACAACGTTTCGGACGTTGTACGGCCCGGCCTTCTTCAGCTGGTTCGAATATAGACAAATACAGAAAGAATTTTAATAAGAATAAAATAAAAAATTCAAATCATGAAATATAAAGAAAGAAATAATTTTTATAACAAAGAAATAAAGACAGAATGGATTTTGTTTCTTCTGTTGACATAAACGAACGGAAAAAATGCTTTCCTCTTGAAGGAAGAGAGTACGAAATTAATACAGTTATATATTACAGAAAAGGAATCCGTGTGGAGGGATATATATATAGATAGAGAGGGAGAGAGAGAGTGGGTGAATGAGTGAGAGAGAGCTAGAGAGAGGGGGAGAGAAGGAGATATAGGGGGAGTGAGAAGGGGAGAGAGAAGTAGAGAGGGAGAGGGAGTGTGTGAGTGAGTGAGTGAGTGAGTGAGCGAGAGAGAGCGAGAGGCAGAAGGAGAGAGCGAGAGGGAGGCAAAAATCTTGTGACTCTCTCAATGATTTTGTTATGGCCTTACACAACACTCACACATAATGATTTGCTCGGCGGCAATTTCTTTCCTTCATTGCTTTGAATCGTGTCACCTTATAACAAAGCTCCGTTGAGATGTTGCCGAGGTCAAGTGGCAAAGTGTTCAGGGAAGGGCGAAGATAATTAGGAAATGAAGGAGGTTAAAAGGAAATCAATTGGGAGGAAAGGGGGTAGAAAAGAAAAAAGAAATGATGGCAAAAGCCAGGGTGGGGGAAGGGAGAAGAAACACAAGAGAGAAGGAAAGAAAATGAGGAAATCATAAAAAAAAGGACACGGAAGTAAACGTGATGCGATTAGAAAAACAAGAGAAAATCGATTCGTTATTACCGCTGACATTAAATTCAACCTACACTAAACTCTCAATTCTTGTGACCTTGTACCAAACAGTAAATAGAAAAAATTAGAAAAACAAGTATATTTTGTTTTGTTTTGTTTTACAGCATATCAACTTCAATTGGTTATTTAATGCCTACAACATTTTTATTTCAGGCAATATTTTTTTTCCAAAAATGTATTGCTGATACTGTTTTCTTTAAAAAGAAATGCTGGTAATATTTATTTTCTTCAAAAATCTATTGCTGGTAATAATTTTTCCTTAAAAAATTGTTGCTGGTATTAAAACCTATTTTTATACTTTTATAGTGTTTTGACCCCAGTTAGGGGGTTAATTATTTACCCATAGTTGTAACCCCCCCTAACAGGTGCTCCCACCCTGCATCAGGATGGACCTGGGAACCCCATCAATTAAGAGGTGGTTCCACGCTCCTCAAAACCTCCTGATCAGAGGCCTTGCTGTAGCACGTAATTTATTGTCTTACCCAGGACGCGGATGTAGTTTATCGTCTTACCCTGGACGCGGATGTAGTTTGTCGTCTTACCCAGGACGCGGATGTAGTTTGTCGTCTTACCCAGGACGCGGATGTAGTTTATCGTCTTACCCAGGACGCGGATGTAGTTTGTCGTCTTACCCAGGACGCGGATGTAGTTTATCGTCTTACCCAGGACGCGGATGTAGCTTATCGTCATACCCATATAATAATAGTTTAAACAATAGATAAACTAGAAAATAATTTACCGTCATACCCAGGACGGAAAACAAGGAAGAAAAAAATAGATCTTTATCTCTGTCAATTCCTTTAATTTCATCTAAAAAATTTGGTGGGCATTATTTTCTTCCATATATTTTTCGGCTAACACGCATTGAACAAAAAATTCAATTAACAAATTTACTGCAATATAATAGACTTATAGTAGGCACTCTGTTTATGAGGCCTTGTACCACTCTTATTAAATAGAAAACAAAAAAGAAGAAATAGAATTATCTTTCTTTTGTTTCTTTTTTCTCTTTTTTTTTTGATCTTTTCTTTTTCCGTTTATTTTAATTTAATTCTATCATGTATGACGGCCTAGATCAAAAGATTTCATTAACAAACATAGTTTGTACATGGATGATACAAGAGGAAGTGTAATTAAAAATAAGTCCTTTCTTTTATACTTCCAAAATCCTATTACGTTGCGAATAAAAAGAATTATCTGGTTTTTTGAACGTCATACGGTGAATTCTTAGATCAAGGAGTAGAACACATGAAGTAAAGAATACAATTAGGAAATGTAAAATCCCTCAAAATGAGATAAGTAAAGAATGAGAACATCGAATATCTCCAAGAGAAACAATTTTGCCATGTAGCATTCTTTCTGATTAACAAACAGAAATTGTAATTGTATGACAATGGCAACTCGTCATCTCAAAATTACAGTTTGACGGAACAATTTTTACAAATAAAAACAACCAGATTAATGTTAATATTAGCTGTGAGCAACGATGAAGTTTTGGTTAAAATGGATAACAAAAAGGAAACTTATGCATAACATCGGGAAGAAGCGACTAAAATTTCTGGAGCACATAACGAGGAAGGATGTCTTGGAAAATATAATACTCACAGGACAGATTGAAAAAAAGAAGGTGAGAGGAAAGCAGTGCGTAACATATTTGGTGAGCATCAGTAAATGGATGATAAAACGGGAGTTTGGGACAAAAAAAAGTCAAAACTTATTAAGTGCTAGGAGGATCAGGAAGATGTGGAGAGCCATGATCGTCTAAGCCTTGAAGGGACAGCACATAAAAAATATTTCTCAATTTACTGTTATAGCGCTTACCAGCACTGATTGAGGTTTCCTTTCTAATCTTTTGTTTAGGGTCGTGTGGTAGAGCAACATCTTGTTTATGTCATTATTCTACCTTTGAGTTAGATCTGCTATCCATTTTCATTTTTGCTCCTGTTGAAAGTTCTTAAGTGATGCAGTTTCTTCTGTTTTATACAGTTTTGGGTTGTTATTTTTAGATTCTTTGTTGTCATGTCGCTCGGTTCAAAGACTGACGATTCCCTCTAAGATCTAGAAGCGCCACTCACGCGAAACCATTTATAACTAAAGATTTGAGAAAGCTGATAGTCTAAATTTATTTGAAAATTATAAATAATCTTTAGAATGTTAAGTTTTTGAGTTAAAAAAGGAAAACGTTTGGGTCGCTCTTCTTTTCTCATTTTCATAGTCGCATCTGTCAAATGTAATAAATCTCAGAGAATGTTGAACTGAATAATAATTTGATCTAATGCGGGGATTACACAAAACTCTTTGACGTCATCACCCATTTTCACATGGAAAAGTTTTCCACCGCCCACCTGCATAGGAAATATTTAAAAGCATAGCAAAAGTGCTTGGTAAATGTTTGTTACTGGTTCATAAACTGAATTTATGTAATAAAAAAATACCAAAGAAAGGTAACAAATAGCGCTGACATGAGACAGCTGCTGCTGCTACTACTACTACTGCTACTACAGTATTAAAGAACAAAAGCAAACTTGACAGTTGAAAACGATATATATATATATAGATAGATAGATAGATAGATAGATAGATAGATAGATAGATAGATAGATAGATATAATTTAGTTTTATGGTTAAGTTTAGATGTATAGTTGCGGTTGGGGTTGAAAGTATTAATTAAACCTGAATCGTTTTTTTGTTCATAATTATAAGAATATATGTAGGCTACTGGCAACTCATAAAAACTTTTTTATTTTTATTATTGATTTTTTTGTTCTTGGTATTTTTTACTGATTTATATCCGAAAAATGTTATTTCGCCTGAAGAATTATATGAGTGTTAACGATCCTTGTCCAAATGATAGAAAATACCAAATTTTGCGGGGATATTTATATTTTATCTAGGAATGTAACTGAGTTATTAGCATTTAGCCTCCTGATATTTGGGATGGGGGGTATCAAGGTTCTTTGCCTATTTCATTTGAATATTATTTCGGGTACGATTTCTGAGAGAATTGGAGATTCTACCGGGATTCAGCATTGGTGGACACAATCTTACCAACATAAGATACGCAGATGACACCGTACTGTAACTTGACACGAAAAAGAAACTACTAAACCTCCTACAGAAAATAACGAAGGAGAGCGAGAAGAAAGGACTAACTATAAACTATAAGAAGACAGAATGCATTGTCATTAGTAAAACGATGAGCGAGAAATGCGATTTGCAGGTCGAGGACAGGTGTGGAAGTTTACATAACTGATAAGTGTTTTGACGGAAGACGGTAAGTGCGACGCTGAGATCCGAAGCCGGATTGGGATGGCCAAGGATGCATTCCAAATATTGGACAGAGTACTGCAAGACAGGAGGATTTCTTTGGTGATGAAAAAAAAAGAATACTGAGCTGCTACGTGACATCTGTCCTTCTCCACGACAGCTGGAGGGTCTCCTCAAAGATGAAGAAGAAACTCGAGGCAGCGGAGATGTGGTGCTACAGAAGGATGCTGAGGATATCATGGAGCGAGCGTGGAAGCAACGATGAGATTCTTGGAAAGAATGTAAACAAAGAGGAAGCTTATACTTAACATAATGAAAAGGTAGAGGAAAGATCTGGGACACGTAATGAGAAAAGAGAGCCTAGAGAATATGATACTCTCAGGTCGAATAGAGGGAAAAAGAGACAAGGGAAAGCAAGGCATGACATACTTAGTGGGGTAAAGCAAGTGGATGGCCGAACGTGGTCTGGGAGAGTTGGAAGAGGCACAAAACTTATTGAGAGCCACAAGGGATGGGAGAAGTGGAGAGACATGATCCCCTAGGACCTGAAAGGACGCGGTGCATAAAAAAGAATGTTGAAATATATTTTTAATATACAAAATCACATATCGCTCAACAAAATTTCAAGTCGCCCACTATTTTCTGTTCAGTTACCTATCGCCTACCGGAAAAAATGGTCTTGTGAGTAAAAGTGTTCAATAATAGAGGGAGAAAAAATGATGCTGATCTTTTTTTCTACGGAAGGACATTAGAAATAAAAAAAAATATACTAGAGTGATGTGTTGAATGCATGGGTGACGTTTTAACAGAGTAGATCAAATAAGTGTAGAAAGCAAACAGCTACGTTCTTTATACGCGAAGACATTTGATGAAGCGTTAAAAGAAAGGAGAAAAAAAGAACCTACTTAACCACAGTTTGGAACTGGTAAATATTGTTTTAGCCTTTAAAATGGATATAATTTACGTAGACAAAGAATCACTGAAATTGTTGTAATATATGTACACCATACGATTAATATTCAACTGAGCTATTCCAATTTATCGTTGGTATTGAACACGGCTTCGAATTTTCTCGGGGAAAACACCTTCCAGCAAGCTGTGTCTTGCCGTTCATCTATATAGGTACTTCTAGTAAGGTCATCCTCAATTAACCTTTTATAATTATACATCACTCGTTGAGACGTTACTGTGTCAATATTTGTTAATTATATCTGCTAAAATGTGATTTCCTAAAAGAAAGGACTGACTAGATGGAGAGATGAGATAGATCCCTGCCGACAGCTACATTTTCTTTAATAAGAATTTCAATAATCTTGTCCGGGAGACATTAATTTAAATTGATTAGAAATAAACAAACTCTCATACCTACTCACGTTATAGTAACAAGAAATATATATATATATATATATATATATATATATAGAGAGAGAGAGAGAGAGAGAGTGAGAGAGAGAGAGAGAGAGAGGGAGAGATAGATATAGATATATATCCATCCACTGCCTTCATCCACTGTGCCAGGTGTCCTCAAGGACACCTGGCATAGTGGATAAAGGCACAGTTGCTAATAGTTTTTTCTCATATTCTCTAACACTCAGTAACAATCCTTTGCGTCTTAGTGGCTTTAGTGCCTTGCTTGGGGGATATTTAAATACAATGTCATTCGTTATCTTCTGTCTTCTTCATTTTTATCTTTTATTGTCCTCACTCCTTACTAATAGATTTTTTTCTCATATTCTCTAACACTCAGTAACCTGTTGCGTCCTGCTGGCTTAATTGACTCACTAGGGGTGAAATGATTTTTTAAAAAATGGTATCGTAGAAATGTCTGACATCTTGCACAAAGTCCTTGTAAATAAAAGGAAATATATAACTGAATAAAATGCAATTTCACTTTATTTTTTTGAAAAAATAGTTTAAAAACAAAAACGGAAATTATCTATAACGTTAATATAATAGTAAATATGACAGACTTGTGTAAAACTTGGGAATTTAAAAAATCGTTTAAAAAAAATAAAAAGACTCTTCTGAACAATGGAAAGACAAATTATAGGGATAATTCCAATAGATAGAAAGATTTCTAAGATCAAAATATATCACAGATATTATTAAGAAACTCTACCAAGAGAGAGAGAGAGATGACAGAACACATAGCAAGAGGAAAGGATAAAAGCTGCATCAAAAGGTCGATTCAATTGTTTTTTTTTTTATGAACAGAAAGGAGTAATCAAAAAGTGAAATAGATGCGGGTGCTTATACGCCAGTGCTGAGAAAGACTGCGGTAGACAGTAGCAATGTACCCTTAAGGTTTGATGATGACCATGATGATGATTCCCCTAAGTGAAGTTGGGTAAGCTTGAGAGAAATTAGATTTTTTTATTACGTCTTACATGAGGAGGTTTTCTGATTCCGGAAAGCGATTAAATATCATTTTTTGCCATCACACTGCTATTCTTCTGATTAAATTCAATGGCTTCGTCTCATGTTTTGTCCCAGGTCGGTGGGATAACTTGATTACGTCGTGCGTTTAGATACAAATTACTCCGGCGCGTCAGGGGCTGTAGAAGATTAGTAATTACATCGAACGAAAGACAATTTTATAATTCTGAACGCATAACCACACTCGCAACCCACCTACGTAAACATCCGCAAATCAAAATAGTCCCTGAAATACACGCACATAAAGACACAGAAGGCCCAAGTCGACGGTAAACTCGATTTTCGCTGAAACGAATTTGTCGTTACAGGCGTGGTACTCTGTGAACTAGTGGCATGTATTGTTGAAGTGGGGAGAGCCAGATTTATTAGAAACCTATATAATTACAGGAAATTGTATCTTCGATTGTTTTTGGATGATCTCTGCTGAAAAATGAAATCTTGTCTCTGAGAAATGTCGGCAAAATATTCGAGTCAGAGAGGAATAGATTAAGTTCATCCATTCAATGCTACCGTCGCATATCTACTTTTAAAGAAAAATGAAATGCCAACTTTAATAGATAAGCATAAAAATGAATTGCCATATAATTGTAGATAAATCTCTGTAATGGTTTAGTGAAATTTAAAATTAGCAACGTAGATCGTTCACACACACACACATATATATATATATATATATATATATATATATATATATATATATATATATATATATTTATATTATGTACATTATGTACATTATTCGGACTATTATGCTCATCTCCATTGCGTGGCACGTGGAACGAGAACAATCTACCCCAGTGAACGTAAATTCCAACCACCTGAAGAAGGCTGGAGCATACCATGGCCGAAACGTTGTGAATATGACAATAAAGATGAGGATAACAGTCTGAATAATCTAAATAATGCAAGTAATCATAACACCTCTCATCTCAGATATATATATATATATATATATATATATATATATATATATATATATATATATACTATAAAAAGTTTTTTTATTTAATTCATTTATATGATCTATAATAAATATTTTGAGCTCTCTTTTGTGGATCAGATTTTATAATTTATATTATTAGGATCTACTTAATCACTTACCCACGGATTTGTACACACACACATATATATATATATATATATATATATATATATATATATATATATATATAGAGAGAGAGAGAGAGAGAGAGAAAGATATCATACAGTTGAAATATATATCATCATGATATATATATATACAGCTGATATAGATCTATGATGATTAACAATCTTAGTTGAATTAGATATATGCCCCCACTATATGAGGTAACTTTGGATTTTGTTGTGTAATATATATATATATATATATATATATATATATGACATTATAACATGAAAAAATTCTCGAATGGATAATGTTTTTCACGTGCTAATGAACGCTCAGCACATTGTCAACCGTTTGCATTTAAAAGCATAATGAATAAAATTACCGTGGTAATGGATAACAACGCACAACTTTGTAAAAATACTTGTACTATTGAACAATATATAGTTTTGTATTACTTGCACTCCTGAAGAGGATCTTGGGAGAAGATCGAAACTACTTGGGAAATCAAAATAAAAGAAATTTAAACAGCTATAGCACATTTCTCTCATCCGTTAACATCAATACACGGAAGGTTATTCGTGAGTATGAGCGGATTTTGTTAAAAATTAGCAGATATAATTTCTATAATTTATTCAGACATGCCTAAAAGAGAATTTGCCGTCTAAATACATACATTTTAAATACCATATATATATATATATATATATATGTGTGTGTGTGTGTGTGTGTGTGTGTGTGTGTGTGTGTGTGTGTGTGTCAGCTTCTCGAACTCAGTGCAATCCATGCACACATCTGTCAGCCAATCATGAACGACCAAAATGTAATTATCAACATAAGACAAATACTAGGAGATAGCATCAAATATTATACAGTGGCCACTGAAAGGAAAGACAGAAAATTCTAGAAGCTATTATTATACAAGTTAAACAGCCCTCATAAACTAAATTATCATTTACCATAGGAGATGGTATCTTGAAGTGTATATGATATAATTAATGTGCACAAATTTTGTATTAGCTTTCAAAATATAAAAAATAATTAATTAATGGATAAAACAAATATAAAATGAAATGAATGGCATTCATTTATGCGGTCATGTTCCCAATGGCCGTTACATATGACGTCACGCTAGACCATTTTAATCGTTCAGTTTCCAAAAGAATACCAGGATACAGACAAAAGAATTCCAACAATACGCAGACATTACTTCGATTCTTGATATTGGCAGCAAAAGTCGAAAGTACTTAAACAAAAATAACAAAATATGTACAGCAGCAAATGTTGGGTGACTCAGCAGCCTTCGGTCTGGAAATGCAATCTGAAACAGCTGCGCAACCTCGCGTCCATTACCAGTCGCGCGGCCGTATGCAAAACTCATATCTGCCTGATCACGATATGAATATCCTGCCATTGTCCAACGGACCATTTCTCAGTTAACTCACTATTGCACTCGTTAAATGTTAAAAACCAGCCACAAACGTATACGAATGACAAATGTAATCTAGTCTACATAGCAACACAGCGCCATCTACCGTAAACTTTCTTTATACTTAATAACACAAATACGACTGTTTTGCAGACATATGCTTATATTAACTTTTGTCCTTGTTTTGATATGAGGAAACCACTCTCAAAGTTTATTAAATATTTTTGATACACACTCTGTGTGTGCCTGTGTATGTGCGTGTGTGTGTGATCTGCTTTACTATATACAAATTCCACTAAATTATATATATATATATATGTGTGTGTGTGTGTGTGTGTGTGCGCGCGCAATATATATTTTTTATGAAATCAATGAATTATTTAATCTGCAAATATTTTCCAATATTCCCAACCTGATTCTGTGGGTACCTTTATTTCAGTAGAAACCCTGTTTCTTCGTTCTTTACGGTGTAAATTACATTAAACTGATTTGCTTATTCAAAAACTTAATAAAGAAAACGTGGTTCCGCCTTTGTAGAAACACCTCTGAATTCTCTGTGACCGAGCGGTCTAAAGCAGAATGCTTCATACGATTGTTTCTGCTACATGGGTGGACGCAGGTTCAAACTTGGCTAAGAGCATATCTAACGATGATCACATCAAAATGTGACAAAAGAATAAAACTGAACCCAACAAAAACAAATTCTCCATATTCCACATCTCCGACGCCAGTGTGAGAAGTCTGAGTGTCCCAACTTTCGATGTTGTTCTACGCGACCGTAACAGTGAAACAAGAACCTCGAAATCGACACGGGCACGGATTCTGTGCCTCCATAAAAGACGGCAGAGGGCCATGATTTCCTGTCAATGTGCTTCTGCGTGACATTTGTTTGCAGCCCCATTTCATCACTCTCTAACTTCCCAAAGACGACGGAATTGTAATGTTCAATAAAATAGCTGAGTTGTATGTATGTATGTGTGTATGTGGAGTATATGTGTGTGTGCACAATTTCAGATATAAGTAAAAATATAAAAATATATATCTGTAAAAGAACAATATGAATGTAGAATGAATTTTCCTTTTGTCATTATTCATATATATATATATATATATATATATATATATATATATATATATATGAATATAAAGATGAACATTGAAGTCGATACTCAGAGGCGACAGGGTGTTTCATGCTGGACGCAACCATTAGGCCTATATATATATATATATATATATATATATATATATATATATATATATATATATATTGCAGACATTATTTCTGCTAATTTTAAAAAATCCGTTCATAAATAACCTTCCGCTTATCGATATTAAAGGATGAAAGAAATGTGCTCTGTTTAAATTTCTTTTATTTTCATTTCCCAAGTACTTTTAATCTTCTTCCAAGATCATCTTCAGGGGTGCAAGTAGTACAAAATTATATGTTGTTTATTAGTACAAGTATTTATACAAAGTTGTGCATTGTTATGCATTAGCGTACTTTTTTCATTATGCTTTTAAATGCAAACAGTTGACAATGTGCTCAGCGTTAATTAAAACGTGAAAAAATTATACATTATGGAATTTTTTCCTCTATGTTATAATGTCATGGTCAATACATATATATATATATATATATATATATATATATATATATATATATATATATATATATATATATAGCCATGAGCCGATTATATAATGTCCCGCTCACTGACTTGGGGACCTTCTACGAAAAGGATGGTTTATATTTTATTCTGATAGAATGATGATTCATTTCTAAAATTAAATTTCATTGGCTCGTTTTATATTCTGAATGACTTTTTCTCATTTATAATTTTATTCTTAACTATATTTTCAATAAATACCTCATTTAGGATCTAAATTCCAATAACCGTTTAGGATCTAAGTTTTTACTGCTTTCGAGATGTGCTTACAAATCATATTACCCAATATTGTACATTTTTGAAATCTTTCAATATTATTATTTGTTTTCGAAATATTTATATTAATTTTTACTTTTCTTTTTTTTTTTCAGGTAAGTGCTGCTCAAATTGTCATTTTCTTTGCGTTAATCCCGTGCCTTATAAGGCCACAGGTAAGTACAATTTCATTCTCATATTTTGAATAATAATCTAAAAGCCAAAACACCTTCACGATTTTCTTATGTTTTTTTTTAAATAAACTTTCTCATCAT